AAAATAACCACTTTTTGTCAAAATGATTTAATTTGGTTATTTAAAATAACCAATTTTTTCGAAATGATTTATTTTGGTTATATCAAATAACCACTTTTGACAACATGGTTTATTTTGGTTATATCAAATAACCACTTTTGACAACATGACTTATTTTGGTTATATCAAATGACCACTTTTGACAACGTGATTTATTTTGGTTATATCAAATAACCACTTTTGACAAATTGGTTATTTCAAATAACCAAAATAATTTTTCGACACTTTGCGAGCCAAATGACGTAGGATACAAAACAGATTTAGCCACCCTCTCCCAGGGGCTTCGATTGGCAACTACGAACATCTCCGGCGTGAAAACTGAAAACATTGTTCGGCTTCAACAGTTCGATTTATATTTTAATAATACAGTAAACCATTTTTGCTTCTTTGCTTCTTGTCATGGCGTCAGAAAGGTTAGGAAGGTCGTTGACCGAGGCAATCGGACCAGGGGCGGCGCTAACCCTCTTCGAGTGGGGGGTGTGAGTGATCTTTTGCCGACTGTTGTTTGGTAATTTTGCCGAGTCATTAGCCTATAGTGAGGGTCCTGAAGGGGGGGGGGGGGTCCCAACCCCATTTTCCACCTGAAATTTTGGCAAAATCCCAGTCCCAGTTGGATTTTTATTAGAAATCCCAGTCCGAGTTATTGAAATCCCAGTCAATAAAAAAACCTTTCTTTATCGGTAGAATAAACAGTTTTAAGACCTTTTAAGCCACCGTGTGTGCAAGTGGCGGACACTTTATGAAATATTGGGGGGGGGCTCGTGCCGAAGGCACGGAAAATTTTAAAATTTGAATCCCGGAAATGGCATTTGCATCATTCTGAGACACGCATAATCAGAAAACCCAAAATTCCGGGCGCCAGAGTATGCCTGTTCGCAAGTAATGCTGTGAATAATATAGTTAACAACAAAAATCATGACTAAAGACACCAAAAACGGATCACAATTGGGAATCGACTCACATTACTTCAATCCCATTCCCATTTTTGAGGACTTCATTTCCCATTCCCAGTGGCCAAATCCCAGTCCCAGCAACCCAAATCCCATTTTCCCAGTCTAAAAATAGATCAATCCCAGTTCCCATTTTACCCCTTCAGGGCCATCTATAGTAAATGTGCATGTTTAAATGCGCTTTATTACCTTCTATTAAGTCGGTTTTCCACTAGCGAATTTTTCTGCGCGAAGCGACCTTTTTCCTTTGTCGGCATCCATTTTGCAGCCCTCGAAAAGTCAAAACCGTCAAAATTGAGGTCGGCAAAATCTGACCTAGGTCGGCACATCTCGGCATTTCTTAAAATCTGTTCCACGTCTTGGAGCACTATTAATCACGCATTTACGAATCATTGAAATCGGAATATAACTGGAACGTTACCTCCAGCCGGAAAATTCGAAAGTTGGAGCCAAATTTTAACTCCAGACACACGAAATTTGATCTTCAAACATCTAACGTATATACACAATACCCGTCAGTTTTTAAACCTTACACCGTAGTGTGTTCAGTTAATCGAACTACGAATCGAATTCTATAATCGCTGACATTTTAAAAGCTATCAGCATAAAAAATTCTTACTTTGGTTGAATTAAGGTGGGCAAAAATTTGCATTTAGCCCGGCATTGCCGAATGCCGACCTCGTTTTCGAGGACTGATTTTGCCACGTCTTGCTGACGTAATAAGTGATACCGACAAAGGAAAAAGGTCGCTTCGTGTGAGAAAATTCGCTAGTAGAAAACCGACTTTATTGCCTCTTTCATAGAACAGTATAATAAGCAACAACAACAACAACAACAACAATAACAACAACAACAACAACAACAACAACAACAACAACAACAACAACAACAACAACAACAACCACCAAACAAATTTAATTACCTAATTATGATTTCAATAATATTATGTTTTTGGACTAGCTGCCAGAAGTGAAGATACTGTATTCGAAAAAATTTGCATTGCTGCATGTGGTTTCTTTGATGCATGCTATTTGTGATATTCGGTTTGAATTCAATTATTCACGAGTGTGGATTGTTTATATGAATATATTTGGCATCTTAATACAAGACATAACTAACATAAAGTCCCAAAACTATGGTCCAAAACGGTCGTTTTATATGAATGTTACGAATCTAAAAACGTGTTCGTAAGGCCAGCACTAACGCGCATGCGCAAGCAAATACTACGCTTAAAAGTCATATAAGATTAACTATAGTGTCCTTTAACAAACTATGCATAATTCTCGACAACGAGGTCAATTTTGGTTTTTTCAGTGGTTATCTTTAGCCAATCCAGTTTTGCCGACTGAGATAACAATTTGCCGATTAGCTGACGAGTGTGGGGGGGGGGGGTGTTACACCGCCCCTGATTTCAGTCTGCATGGCCATGGGCGTAGGAAGATCGGTATTTTGGGGGGCTCATATTCATATATTCATAAAGCAATCAATTTCAAAAGAAGTAATGATGCAGAACACGAATATATGAATATGAGCCCCCCCCCCCAAATATCGATCTTCCTACGCCCCTTGGCCATGCAGACTGAACTATCGAAATTTATTACGTATGCGAGCTGGCTACCCATAGCAAAGACAGATAAGTATAGTTTACGTTTGGTATTGTATTCTATTCTATTCTACCTACTGGGGTTTCTTTCGCTTTAAGAGATTTCTCTCCAGTTATAAAGTGAGGTCACTGGCGAAGGTAAAGTATTCCAATTTCCGACAATCAATTCCGAAAGTAATTCAGGTGCAAAACGTTATATTAATGACTTGCAACCAATCTCCTCCTGGTACACACCAGACAATGTTCATCGATAAAATTACAAAATAGACATGGTATATCTATTATGTGATAAATATTCTTTTGTGCCATGCCACCTGACATGGCGGGTGACGTGCAAGTCAAGAATAGAGAAAATCAAAAATCAGTCCAGTCCAGTCCAATTGTCCAGTCCAGTCCAACAGTCCAGTCCAACTGTCCAGTCCAGTCCAACTGTCCAGTCCAGTCCAGTCCAGTCCATGTTTTGTACTATGCCCTTATTTCTCCTTAATTTTTCTCGCTTGCTTATTAGGGAACTTTAGATTTGACTACGACTACGAGTACGAGATTCGTCAAGCTAAACGCATGCTGTATGCTTACGCCATCCCGTGCTGACGCTAAAAAGTCGTAGCCGTCGCCCATCTGAGTACGAAATTGTGGAGAAACCTCGTAGTCCTCACGACGACTTTTCAAAAAAAAAGAAAGAAAGTTGACTTTTTTTTGTTTTCCAAAAATAATTTGTAGCATTTATATAGCGTTTATCCGGCGCAAATAATATATTAGTGCTAAATATCTGGCCTGTTTTTAATGTTATGACTTATTTACACGTTTTGTAGGGGATTTTAGTCGGCAGGAGATTTACTTTATGAAACTTTTTCTCTAGTTGTTGGTTTACTGTTATAAAAGCAACATTTGAATGGAAACGAAAACGACTACGGTAATTTCCTCGCACGCGATCAAATCTCGTACTCGTAGTCGTACTCGTAGTCGTACTCGTAGTCAAATCTAAAGCTCCCTAATTATTTTGCCAGGAGGGGCGGCAATGCCGTGCAGCATGTAGATTGGGACGAGTAAACATGGCGATGGCAGACGAAGCAGATATGGAATTTGTTTCGAATATTAAAGAACTATGTATGAAACAAAATAAGAAGGTATGAATATTCTGATCTTTTAAACAAATTATAATGCATGAGTAAGTATAATACCATTTCTAACTTTATATTTAACAACACTACACCTGTCCTATTGCCCGTGGATCTAGTGCCGACCCTTCACCTTGTATGCAATTAATTCAACATGGCGTCGGACAGACTGATTCTGGGTCAAGTTGGATCTTTGTTTAATGATCAGTTGACAAGCGATATACAGTTCAATTGTACCAATGATTTGTCAAGCAAGTCCGTATTGTTCTTTGTACATAAAAATATTCTTGCGGCTGGCAGTGATGTGTTTCGTACAATGTTTTACGGAAAGCTACCGCAAAAAAATCCAGTTGATTTACCCGACGCAGACGAGGAGAGTCTGCACGATTTTCTGCTGTTTTTTTACACAGGCAAGTGTAGTTTAACTACAGAAAATGTCGTATGTATATTATACTTAGCGAGGAAATATATTGTACCTTTTCTCGCTAAGAAATGTTTTGATTACCTCGACGCCAACTTCAAACTGGAGAATGTTTTCGTACTTTTACAGTTAGCCTTTCATTTTGAAGGAAATGAACTTGAAAAAAAATGCTGGCAGTTCATAGATAAGAATACTAAGGAAGCTATCGCTACCGAAGGATTTTCTGAGATTAATCAAGCAACATTACTACAGTTAGTGAAACGAGAACCGTTAAACATTGATGAAGTTACTCTCTACAAAGCAATTGTTAATTGGAGTGAGGCAGAGTGCCTACGAAAAGAAATGAAAGTAAATGATAAAAATAAACGGGATGTCATGGGTAACATAATCTACCACATTCGTTTTGCTTCGATGAGCCATAGTGAGTTCACTTTGAATGTTTCGGAGGAATCGGCAATACTTACACAAGCCGAAAAGATTTTCTTCCATGATCATTTCGGTGGAGCAAATAAAAAATCAAAAGTGTGGAATATGTCGCGAAGAGACAAAGAGAGAGACTTGTTATGTAGATGGGGTCATGTGGCAGCTTTAAGAAGGTTAGTTGTGATTGGCTGAATGGTATTTGTTCTATTTTTGTAAGGTTTACAGCTGACAGTTAAAGCAGTGAAGAATGTGGTATCTTACTCTACTCAAGGGGTAGAGCTATCCAGTATAAATAAAGTTAGTTTAATTAAGACTTAATCAATAAGAGATGATGCTTACAGGACCTCTAAGAAAAACAATTTAGAACTGATAGAACTATCCAGTATAAAAGAAGTTAGTTTAGTTTAGGTTTCTTTCTGGAGTAAAACTGGACAAAAATAGATGATCTTCACTGGACATCTACGAAGAACAGTTTAGAACTGATATAGCCTGCTCACAGACACCAAGCGATGAAATACTACCATCTGCTTACCCGAGCGCCAAACTGAATTCTGTTACGTCGACCAATCAGAATTTACCTTCTAAATTCTGGAAATTAAGTGACGTCAGTTGATTTAGGAGCGGAATAAATATAAATATATATTTTGAAAGCAGTCATCGGTTGAATTTTGGTCAAAATTGCACATACATTGAATTTAAAGATACTGATACTTGTCCAGGTAATAAAATGCACCATTAATGATCAGATTTGGATATTAAAGATGTTCGGTTATATTTAAAACATGGACAGGATTGGCATATTTATACTGTATGAATCTTAGCCAGACAACATCAAATGCTGAATATATTTCGCTGAAATTTTAACGGTTTATCTATACAACAGAACTCGGAAGACAGAAAATTTTATATAGTACTGTGGCTTAGAAAGCGAAATATTAGCTTCAAAGTAAACTAATTTGCTGTTTGAGCAACCACTTCTGAATGTAAACTGTAAACACAACACAAACCCGAGAAACTTGTATTAAAATTGCGGCGTGATGAATTTTCCAATTTGCCCAAACTTCGAAACGTTTATACTCTAACTTGGCTATACTTTTCTACATGACAATGAGAGCTTAATCTTTTAGAAGTTTTCGTCGAAGTCATGGCATATAGGAAGTATCAAGAACAACAATCCTGATATACTCGAGTTTCCCGATTGATTGTTTGTCATTGTTAACAAAAATTTTAATTTCGCCTACTGCATTGCTTTAGCACTTCATATACACCGATTGTTTGCTGAACATGCGAGAAGATGATCACAATATTATTCTACGTAAACATCGTGAAGTTCAACGCTATAGTTTCCAAAATATATCCACGCAAGTAAACAAGTTTCAACCCAAACAATATATTCCTATGCATGTGCAAGGGCTTTCCCCAGTAGCTAATCTCTCAATGAGCGGCTTCCAATTGGCTCTAACTTTTTTGAACACTGCCAGATGATTGGCTCCTAAAACAAAGGGAATTGAATATGCAGCTCGGGTAAGCAGACGTTTATAGTATTTCGTCGCTTGGCGTAAGAACTACAACGTCTGTGAGCAGGCTAGAACTGATAGAGCTATCCAGTATAAATAAAGTTAGTTTAGTTTACGTTTTCTCCTGTAGTAACACTGGATCAATAAGAGATGATCCTTACTGGACCTCTAGGAAGAACAGTTTAGAACTGATTGAACTATCCAGTATAAATAAAGTTAGTTTAGTTTAGGTTTCCTGCTGTAGTAACACTGGATCAATAAGAGATGGTCCTTACTGGACCTCTAGGGAGAACAGTTTAGAACTGGTAGAGGTATTCAATATAGATAAAGTTAGTTTAGTTTAGGTTTCCTCCTGGAATATCACTGGATCAATAAGAGATGATTCTTACTGGACCTCTTGGGAGAACAGTTTAGAAGTGATAAAGCTATCCAGTATAAATAAAGTTAGTTTAGTTCATTAGTTTTATGTAAATGATAATGTTATCGCATGATTTCAGAACAATGTGGTTCTTGCTCGGCGTTCAGTACTAGAGGATCTTTAGAGGGGCAGCATTTTAATTAAGAAAACAGGAAAGTTGGTTTCACCCAGTGAACAAAATCTTGTCGACTGTTCTAGAAGCTATGGCAACCATGGGCGTACGGGAAGGAAAAAATTGCTTGTTTTAAAAATTTGTTTTATTAACAACAACAACAGTACAAGCAAACGAACAAGAAAAACAACATGCAAGCAACCCCCAAATCAACAAATAAAAAGAAATTTAAAATATTAGATGTAATTATAGAACACTAAGTTCAGTTTGCGATGTTTCTTAATGCCGACAACAGATACCAGAAATACAGAACTTTGTTGAATTTCTTTTTTGAGTGTATATCCACACCGTGCAGTCTGAAAAGTTGGTACCACGGTGGGAAAAGAACACGCGACCTTTTGGATACCAGTCCAATGCTCTGCCAACTGAGCTGCATGCGAGGTCAAGTCGGTTCGAGTGTGTGGTATTTCGGAACTAAGTCTAGAACCTTCGATACCAATGTGTTCTTATGATCATGATATTTTGTGTGTGTGTTTTGATGTTATGTTAAATATTTCCCAGGTCACACAGACATCCAGAAAGGTTCCGAGTCTCAGCTTCAAGATGCGACAGCAGTGGCCATTGACGCAGGCCACAGCAGTTTCCAGTTGTACGACAAGGGTGTATACAATGAACCAGACTGCAGTAGCACCCAGCTGGACCATGGCGTGTTGGTGGTAGGTTCATAGAGATTATAAATAAACACTAGAGGAGGCATCGAGTTTAAAAATTGGGAACGCAGCTAATGGGGGGGGCAAATTCAAGTCCCGGATATAAAATCGTGCTCTCATTGGCTGATTTGAAACTCGTCACCAATGGGAACACGAATACACATCCGGGACTTGAATTTGCCCCCCAATAGCCGCGTTCTTTTTTTTTTACTGAATTAAGATTACAATGCCTCCTCTAGTGTTATCTATAATCTCTGTGGGTAGGTTATGGTACATTGAATGGTAACGATTACTGGCTGGTGAAGAATAGCTGGGGAGCATCGTGGGGTATGAAGGGATACATCATGATGTCAAGAAACAAAAACAACTGCAACAGCAGCTAGCTATCCTCTGGTTTAAACCTGGACTAAACCTTCTTTTACTCTTTTGACTTAATTATTTTCCAAATTCTTTATGCATGGTCTTGTAATTGACCGGTAGATCAAATTTACGAGGCTTCTTCTCTATGGGGCTGTGCTAACTTGGGTAGAATTATATAAGATGACTTTTAAATATTTCAATAAAATGCGGTGCGTTCTGACGTATATACATTAACAAGTGTTGGACTCCTAATAATCTGCAGTATTTCCAGGTCTCAAACACTCGTGACAGTCCTGTTCAATTGTCAGTATTTTAAATGAATATTATTTAAATGATAAAGGTCTGCATGATTTGTAAAAAAAATTATTAGCAAATTATTAGGGGGGGCTGAAGCCCAGCCCCCCCCC